TGGTTGTCGTGGTTCTTGTGAGGGTGTAAGCTTTTCAGAGGGAACGTCTAGAATTTGGATGGCGTGGACGAATAGCTTGCGGTCTCAAAATTCTGGACGTTTTCCGTAAGTCCTTTACACCTATTCCGGGCCATTTTCTCAAACCACTGTACGTTGTCGTTAGTGGTACTATAGCTTGTCGTTAGTGTTGGGGTGAGAAATTAGCGACAACTTCCTAGTTGGCGCTAATTTTTCATAAAGTAAGCGCGCGAAACAGGCTCTGACTCAGCGAGCGCAAAAAAAGTGATGACTGAGCGCCACCCTACCTTCCTTGACATGGCGCGCATGTCGCAAATTACAAGCGGGCAATTTAGTGTACACAATAGCGGGCTTCAAAACCAGCAAGTAGTAAGCAGAAGCATTTCAATATAAATTTAAGCGAATAATTATTGCCCAAACATACAGAACCACGGTCAAAATCAAAAGTTCTGAGATTAAACAAAAAACAAAAGATTAAATAAAAAACATTAAAAGCCCCAAGCCATGACAAGCCCATTGTATGAGGTTAGGATCAAGGCAAGTGGATGACAGGGCTCTCGAATTGCGCCTACGTGCCAGCCTAAACAAATGAGCTAGGCGACTATCTGCTGCCAATTCCCCCAGCCAAGTAACAGCTGCTTGTGTGGAACCAGGAGCGGTGTCAGCTTCCATCGGGGGGGGGGGGGGGGGTCGTTTAGGTCAGCGACGTCAGAACGGGAAGAAGGATATGGAAACTAGCGGTCAATGCTCTCTTGACGAGTGAGGGGCTGCCCAACAGAGAGAGTGGGCAGAGCATCATCAAATGTTATGACCTCCCGGCCTGTCATAGGCGAACCGCCAAGCCTAAGTCGTCCTATGAGGCGCGTGAGGGAAGTGACATCCTATGTAGGGGGGTCTCGGGAAGGCCCCTCAAACACACGACTTAGTCCCCATGCTGTAAGCCATGTGCAAGTTACTATCTCACTACGCCGCCAGCACCGACGCAAAATCTCCGGGTCCGACAGCATCCACACCCCGCTTACCCATATTATTGTCATGCGTAGGTCGGGCCGCTTGGACATCCTCCTCCCCCTCCACCTCTCTTAGAAGTGGAGCTTGGCACCCTGCTCCCCTCCATCATAATCCATATACTCTCGACATCCGCCACCGACTCGGTGGTCGCTTCATCCGCCCCAGCCACAACACGCTCTGGCCTATCCACCAATAGCCTCCTGTAGCGCAACTTAAGTGTGGAGATCACACCTTGATCGAGCGGTTGAACGTGTGACGTGCAGTTTTGTGGGAGGTAGACGACTCGTACTTAAGGAATATCGACCATCTTGATCCCCTTGTACTCGTGCTCCGTGGTGTCCAAAATCGGCCGCACAATCTGTTGCGTTGTCCACCAGGAGTACAATATGACGTCCTTGGTGTTCCATTTGCACGCTCACCGTGTCGAGCCATTGCGAGAAAATATGCAAAGGGGTATAGAGATCACATATTGGTGTGTGTACAACGCCTCAAAATCTGTGGGAAATGCACATTTCACATTTTTCATCTCACTTGTGAAACTCGGCGTGACAGAAGTTATTACATGCACGACAATCAAGAGACGAATGCATGCCAACGTTCACCTTCGTGGTCATCCATGCTTGACCATTGAAGCGGTACCATGCGAAGTCTTGCACGTGGAAATCCCCGCAGAATGAGCGTGGGCGCAAGATCTTGCCTATGACGATGGGTGGTAGAAACTCGGAGCCATCCGCGTTCACACATAGGCTGAGTGTGAACCGCTCCTTATCAACCGTGCCACCACTTAAAGGTTCGGTTGCATAGGATCGACGGGGTTGTTAAACACGTCGGAGGGTTCGTAGTGGCTTAGAATCTCGAGGATAATCTCTCGCGCGAGGCTGAAAGAATGCGCATTTGCATCCTCGCCTCTCTCTTGCGAATGTATGACACCAACCCTATGCAGGCCAATGCTTGGCACAGCCACTCTAGGAAAACATCAAAGTCCCTCGACAAATTCATCTCTATGGCAAAATCTTGCGCTTTTGCGAGAGGCATATGAAAGGAGACAGGGTTATTCGCCGTATTTTGACGAGCTGCCCACTGAGATAACCTAGTCTCTAACATGGGGTAATGGCAATTGGTCATGCGTTTCCGTGTTGGTGGCAGGGTGGTACCTTCGAGCCAATATTTTCCATTCTTGATCATTTTAGCAGCAGTGGTACGATGCGGCGTCTTGTTAATTCTGCCTCGACCCAATCTAGAAGATCCTTATTTTCAAGGTTTCGATTGGCTGCAGCATAAAGAACGAGCCTCATTTTCTCGTCTAACGTTAATACAGTATTACGCCTAGGGGCTGGCAAAGTAGATGCTCAGTTTCTCTGTGAAATACGGGATGCTGTGTGCGTGAGTCTGCTACTCTCTGTTCTGCTGTTTGGGCAAGTCCGCTGCTCTCCGTTCTGATGTTTGTTCTCTGTGGGTTGCGTTTGAGCTCATTGAAAGGGAACCGCAACCACACATTCATTGAAAATTGGCCACGACGGGCTGTAATGCTTGGCTAATTCAAGGTTCGGTACGTTTCTTTAAGGTTTACTTATTAATGGGGACTTTTGAGACGGTGCGTGTCATTCAATCTTTGCTTCTGTTCGTTTCGGATTTCTGTTGGAAGTGTTTTCTGATTGGCGCGTGACCTCTGCTTAGGACCCCCAATTTCGTCGAAAAAAATTGTAGTTTGTCGTTGGGCGCAATCCCCATCGGCAAATCGCAGGTGTACACGTGGTTTTACATGTGCCTCAATTTGGGTTCCTTGGGTACAGACGATGTCCACAAAATGCCCAGCCCGAAAAAAAAATCCAATCGCCCCCCCCCCCCCCCCGAGAACAATTTTACGGGTAGTAGCCGTTTTGACAGAGTCCGAAAGTGCCAGCGTGGCGACACGCACACGAAGCTTCATCATTACAGCAGCTCTTAACATGCGGTTAACGAGAAGCCGAGAAAGGCTCATTTTTTTCGCCACACAGCCTTCGACGGCGTTGCCATAGTGCATCGCCAAACCTAATCTGGCCGTTCATTTTTTTCGCAAGGCTGCGAAACTACATGTCAGTAGGGCCATGAAACAAACGGCGTACAACCAAATATCATAAGCTGACTTGCCCAACCACCACTTTTAACATCACATTACTCGCCGCACTTGCTGACGCTGCAACCCCCTCCTAATACCACAACTTCCCTGTCCCAAATTGCATTTACATGTTTCCTGTACGAGGGTAGAGGTGTCGCGATGCGTTGAAGTATGCATTTAGATGACATTTAACGATGTGCGTCGCAACCGAATCACAGTGCCCCGCACATGAGTAGCATTAAAAGCCATTCCGTGGCATCGATGAGTTACGATGGTGAAATACGCCCTGCTCTTACCCATGCCCAACCCTGCTCAGCACCAGAATACACCATGTAAACAGAGACATCCCAGCAGGGAAGTTACTCCGAAGTCTCACCTCTCACTTTTGTAATACTAGTGCATCGACGCTCATAGCTCCGTGTCGAGATGAAGTTCGCGATATGCAAGCACCGCGCACTTAACCCGCAGCTTCGGCAGGAGGGCCTTGTGCGGTGGGGCTTCACCCGCTTTGGCTTCGTGTCTGACATGTCTACGACACAGAAGGTGCTGCGCCAGAGGCCCCGCTGAATCAGTGACGACGCACCTGGAGGCTGATGCTAACTCCGCCAAGAGGCTCAAGGAGGTCGTCAGAGGCGTCGGCCTCCAAATCGACGCCCTCCAGGTTAAGTATTCGGAAGGCGAAAAAGCGAGAAGAGCTGACGACGCAACTCGAGCAACGAGAGCAGAATGCACCTCTTAGGGATGATAAACTTCCGCCAAGCCGGCGGCGGACCGCGTCGCAATATACGAGGCAGGTTGCGGTGGGAATAGCAAACGTCCCATCGCGCAGAAATTGGTATTTATACATGTTTCTTTAAATGGAAGTCTAATGGATGATGGGTGATACTATTTAGCCATAACATGTTTGTTTTACTCAGGCTGACAATCTTGACCAAGGTAAATAAACATAGACTGTTACACTTAAACCGGACGTTACGCTGGTCCATGAAACTTCATGTCATTCGTAAAATGATCGCAGAAGCCTCTTCCCGTACTATTTCGAATGGAACGCCCACCTACTCAACTATAAGTTATAGTCCAGAGTTTGTGTCTATAGGAGTTGTACTGTGGTGCGCTCTTCTAGAGGTTGGGAAGAGTTGTGGTTGAGAAGAGGAGTTGTGGCAATGTCTCTGGTAGTGGAATCCATGCAATTGAGCTGATGATGTGGCACAATATGTGACATGTTGGTGTTGGCAGTACCCGTCTGGCATGGTCACGCTGATGTGGCAAGGCTGTTTGATATTTCGTGGTGCTGGACGTATTGCATGCGCATTGTTCGTTGCGAGTTCATTGAAAATATGCAAGGGAGAGTTGCAATCCGTCTCAATGGCACACTGTACAAACAAGTAACACACGCTACGAGTGTAAACCAAACTGTTACCATTGTGCTCAACAAAAATCCCTCGCCGCTAGGGGCGAACGCCGGTGAAACACCGACTCGACAAAAGCCCAGGCAGCTCGGATAGGTGGTGGGCCTCTTTCGGGCACAAACTGTATTCTGGTACTGTACTGTATTCGGGCTGAGATGGGGGAGGGTTCATCGCTGAGGTCATCTGCTTGCTGACTTGGCGAAGTGTGACTCACCCTCCCCAAATGTTTCGATTTTCACACGCTTGAGTTTGGGGCGGCAGCTGGTAGGTGGTCCAGGTGGGCGACAAAACCTGAGAATTTGCTACGTGAGAAAATGGCGCGGGATAAGTGTATCTTCCATACTTTCCGACGAGCTTCGTGCAGAACAAAGTATGCTTTCGTCATCCTGATCGTCCTCCTGATTTGTCCGACACCGTTTTATGACCATAACATAACATTCTCTAGTTGTCGTTCGCTGGGATCCTGCCTTGACGAGACAACCCTCCCAAAGCGTTTGAAACCCATAGCCCAATCCATAGACACCTGTGGACGTATAGCTCGTTGACCCGTCGAGTCTTGATGTTCCGAAGCTCTAGAAGCCTGTTTCACGCACAGGATAGTTAGGTGCTGCAATCGACATGGTAGGGTTTCAAGGCACTCACCCGACAATAGATGGTAAGCCTGAGCAAATCAGATACTCGCGTTTGAGTCGACTCAAAAGCAGACAATAGAAGGTAAGCCTGAGCAAATTAGTTGCTCGACATCAGCTATCCCGAAACCCTGTCGGTCATGACGTTGCATGTCTATGCTTAGTCCCGTTCCTCTCCCTTCACTCATCAAGTTCTTACCTGAGCAGTTGCTCCATTTTCTCATGCTCCCTCTGCCAGAGGTGCGCGCGTACCTCAACGCGGATCACCAAGAGGAGATGCGGCACAGCATCCACCAATCCGCAGCTGACATGTGGATCGCAGAGCAGCAGTTCAAGTCGTGCCTGGAACAGGCTCTGTCGAACCATCCCTTCGCTAACTCCCAACCTCCTCGTCGCGAAGCCGCAACCAGTGACTCGACTACTTCTAGTGGTGCTCTGTTTGTTACCTCGTCTTCCTCGTTGACTGCTTCACGCGAGGCGCGTTCCGCGATCCCTAATAGTAGCAATTTACCCCGGGATCGCAACAGCGGCCTGTGCTCCTTGTTAAACCGGTGTCGAAGGAAGATCTCTCGGCATTTGTACTGTTCGTGAATTAAGACGCTCCCACAACTAACATCACGGGGAGAGCAACAATCGCGCGCTCCGCCATCGGCAGCTGCGGGATACTATTGGAAGCAACCCAGAGTAGCTTCGCTAGTGGCTTTATTCGCGGAAAACCATTTCTGTAAACTGACAGTAGTGCATCACCGCCATGTGTCAATGCTATGCAATCTCTGGATTTGGAATAGTGTGAGCCGCTGTACATAACCTTCAGCTCTTGTGTCATAAACTTTCACCTTCACCATGTGGTGTTCCACAAACTGTACATGAGCACAAGCCTTCGTTCCGGAAGACCCGAAACAAGGGGAATCTTGTCAACTTATACTAGTGAGTAGAAGTTATATCCTAGCCTAGGTGTGTGCTTCTAGTGAGTACAACCCCAACAGGTACCGGTATATGTTCTAGGTTTCTCACACTAGTCTATTATTCTTGCATTCTAACATGGTATCACGAGTAGGTTAGGTCCACCCACCCGCTTCCGCCCTCGCCCTAGCCTCTCGCCCCCTAGCTAGCCCTAGCGCCCGCCCGGATCGTAGAGCCCGCCTGGCCCTTAGCGCGCCCGTCCGGCCCGTCGCCCCCGCCTGGCCCGTCGCGCCCGCCTGGCCCGTCGCGCCCGCCTGGCCCCGTCGCGCCCGTCCGGCCCGTCGCCCCCGCCTGGCCCGTCGCGCCCGCCTGGCCCGTCGCGCCCGCCTGGCCCCGTCGCGCCCGCCTGGCCTGTCGCGCCCGCCTGGCCCTGTCGCGCCCGCCTGGCCCCGTCGCGCCCGCCTGGCCCGTCGCGCCCGCCTGGCCCTGTCGCGCCCGCCTGGCCCGTCGCGCTCGCCTGGCCCCGTCGCGCCCGCCTGGCCCGTCCGACCGCCTGGCCCCGTCGCGCCCGCCTGGCCCTGTCGCGCCCGCCTGGCCCCGTCGCGCCCGCCTGGCCCCGTCGCGCCCGCCTGGCCCCTCCGCGCCCGCCCGGCCCGTCGCGCCCGCCCGGCTCACAGCGCCTTCCCGGCCCCTCCTAGCGCCTCCCCGGCCCCTCCTAGCGCCCGCCCGGCCCCTCCTAGCGCCTACTCGGCCCATCCCATCGCTAGCCCGGCCCAGTGGCGCCCGCTCGGCCCCTCCTAGCTCAAGCCCGGCCCCAGTACGCCCGCCCGGCTACTCCGGCCCCGTGTCCTCTGCTCGCCCGCGCTGGAGCGTCTTGCAGCCGTCCTCCTGGAGCTGTACTGCTGTGTCCCTATGCCGCTGTATCCCTGTGGAGCTGTGCCGCCGTGTCCCTGTGTCGCTGACCCTGCACGATGGCTGACTTCGTACTCCGCCTGGACGCTGAGGGCCATGCGGTTGACTTCGCCGCCTGGCTGTCCGATCTCCGCCATCAACTCACAGGTCAGCGCCAAGATGGGCACTCCTTGGTTGTCCATGCTGATGGCTTGCTCCCCTGCTCCCCTGCGCGTGCTCCCCTCCCTACTGACCCCACCTCTGCTGAGAGTGAGGCTTTCTTTGCTGCTGCACTTGCCTGTGCCGTCTGGGACTCTCGCGATGCAGTTGCTCAGGTCGCGATCAGTCACGCCCTCCCTGTGTCTAAGCGTTCGCGTTTCGCTACAGTTGATACAGCTAGGGCTTACTTAGATGCTGTTGTTGCTCGCTATTCCACGCATGCCTCCGCTACTGCAGGCCGCCTGCTCTTCCCTATGCTTTTCCCAGACCTTGCTTCCTTCCCTACTGTTGCTGACCTTGCCCCTCATCTGCGAGCCCTAGATTCTCGCTACCGTACTGCTAGCACTACTGCCCAGCTCACTGCGCTCCCCCCCCCCTTTTGCATGACCCTCTACTTTATCGCTATGCGCCTGTCTGACCACCTTGCTAGTGCACGCGACCACATCCTTAGCCAGCACCCGGGTGATCTCACCCTGCCAGCCTTTGTCACCGCCTTGACCGAGATCGAGACTCGCCAGCGCACTATCGCTCAGTCGAGCGGTACGCCGGCAGTCTCTATCTTTCACGGTTGTGCCCCCTCCCAGTGCACGTTTACTCACGTTTCGGCTGCGGTTGCCACTACGACCCCTCTGACCGAGACTGCAGCTGCGGTACACCCGCAGCAGCGCTCGCGCCGCACCGGCCGTGGCCGCCAGGGAGGGCGTGGTGGTGGAGCTGGTGGTAGTGGTGGTGGTGCCGGGGACAGTGGCTCTACTGAGGGGACTGCCGTAGCTAATCACGAGCAGCAGCCGTCGCCCCAGCAGCAGGAGCAGCCGCAGCAGCCGTCGCAGCAGTCGCAGTCGTCGCAGCTGCTGTCCCAGCCCCCGCCGTGGGCTTGTCTCCCACCGGGTTTGCCCGGCACCTCCGTCGGTGGTGGCCGTAGTGGCGGCCCGCGCAGCTTGGCGTCTACTGGCAGCTCCGTTGGTGTGACCTGCCAGTACCAGCTTCAGACCGGGCCTCTCCGCGGCACTCTGTACCGCCGCCCGCACCCGACTGCCTGCTGTTTCCGTCGCCTCGACGATCTCTTTCGTCGTCGCTTTGGCCCGGCTCCGGACCTCCCCAACTGGCACAGCCTGCTTCGCCAGGGTGTGCCGATCTTTGAGTTGGATATGGATCAGATAGGTGCTGCTTTGCATGCCTTGTATTCTAACACTTCTAGTGTTGCTGGATCTTATTACCCTGTGTACTCTAGTTTTGGTGTGGCACCCTTGTGTTGCTTAGCCTCCCCTGCTACGTCCAGCACAGGACTGCCTCGTATGCCTAGCCTAGTTTCTGCACCGGCTCCGTTCCCGGCCTCCGCTACAGCCTCGCTGCCCTTCAATCTCGACTCTGGTGCTTCTGCCTGTTTCTACTGCGACAGCTCCACGCTCACGCCGCTTGCTGCGCCTGCTGTTGTCGCTCTCGCTGACCCCTCTGCGGGTCCTGTCATCACTCGCAGCTCCACTTCCCTTCCCTGTCCAGTCGTTCCCTCGGGCTCTCTTACAGGCCTCCACGTTCCCTCGTTCTCCAGGAACATGGTTGGTGTCGGCTGTCTTCAGCACCTCGGCGTCACCACGACAATCCCTCGGCACGAGCGGTTCGCTGTCTGTACCGAGGCAGTCTCAGCTTCCCCTCTTGCGACGTTCCCCCGGGACCCGGTGTCCGATCTGTTTACCCTTGACACCGCTTCCCCCACGGTTGGTGCGTCCTCCGAGGTCGCTGCAGCTTGCTCGTGTCGGTCCCTCACTCACCCGTCCCTTTTGTGGCACCACCGCTTAGGTCACCCTGCTCTCCCGCGTCTGCGTCACATGTCTCAGCACGGTCTTGTCTTAGGCCTGCCCGCGTCGCTCCCCGCCCTCCCCCCCTCGACTGCGCCACCATGCACGCCTTGCGTCGAGGGCCGCCTCCGCCGTGCTCCTCACTCCTCCTCGCTTCGCCCTGCTACTACTGCCCTTCAGACCCTGCACCTGGACGTCTGGGGCCCTGCTCCCTTCCCTGGACCGCGTGGTGAGCGCTACGTGCTTGTGCTCGTCGATGACTCCACGCGCTACACCACGGTGTTTCCCCTGGAGCGGAAGGCCGACGTGCCCGACGTTCTTCTCCCGTGGGTTGTGGCTGCGCGTTTTCACTGCGGTCTCCCCGTGTTGTGTCTCCACTCTGACTGTGACGGCGAGTTCGCCTCTGGTCGGCTTGGACAGTTCTGTCATGCGGAGGGCATCACCCAGTCGTACACCTTGCCGAACTCGCCCTAGCGGAATGGGGTTGCTGAGCGCCGCATCGGCTTGGTCATGGAGGTGGCTCGTACCTCCATGATTCATGCCGATGCCCCCCATTTTCTGTGGCCATTCGCTGTTCGCTACGCTGCTTACCAGCTTAACTTGTGGCCACGCTCCCAGCGGCCGCAGGTTTCGCCGACCCTCCTTTGGACCGGGTCCCCTGGTGACGCGTCTTCGTTCCACGTCTGGGGTTGCCTTGCTCACGTTCGTGCCTCTGGCATGGACAAGCTCACTACCCGCACTGTCCCCTATGTCTTCCTCGGTTTCCACCTGGACTCGTCTGACTGGCTCTTCTACCACCCGCCGTCTCACCGCTTCCTTCACTCTCGTGACGTCACCTTTGACGAGTCTGTATCCTTCTACCGTTGCTTCCCTCAGCGAGGTCTCCCGGTTCCTCCCCCCCTGTTCCTTAATCCCTCTCCCCCGGTAGCCCCTCCTCCCCTCCTGCCTCGTCCTGCCCCGTCTAGTGTCTCTCACGTCACTCCCCTCTCGTCGATTGTCCCCGTTGAGGAGTCTGCTGACTCTGGTGGTCCCCCCGGCCCGTCCTTGCCGCGTCCCCCTTCCCTGGTGTCTCCGCTTCCGCTTTCGCAGTCGCAGCCGCCGCCGCCGCCGCCGCCGCCACCACTGCTGCCGCTCTTGGCCTCTTGGGGTGCTGGCGTTGAGGAGGGTGATCGTCCTGCGGCTCCTGGCGTGGTCTGTCCTTGCGGGCCTGGGGGTGCCGCTGGTGCTGGAAGGAGTTCTCGCGCTAGGGGTGCTGGTTCTGGGGGTGCTGCTGTTGAGTGTTCTCTCGGCGGCCGTCGTGCCTCTGCCGGTCCGAGGGTCGAGCAGCAGCCGCCGCAGCAGCCGCCGCAGCCGTCGCCGCCGGTCCCCGCTCTTCGCCTGCTAGGCCTTCCCTCCTTTGGCCGCTCGCCGGTGTCTCCCCCGCCACCTCCTCCCCTTCCTGTCTACAGCCCTGAGTTCCCGCCGCCAGACTCGTCTCTGGCCCGTCTTCCTCCTCGTTCCCCTCTTGTGTCCCCTCCGCTATCTCCTGACACTACACCTCCGTCCCACGTTTGGTCTCGCCGTCCCTCTCGTGCTCGTCCCGTCTCTCCTGTCCTGCGCTCCCACCCTATGTTGCTCCGTTCCCACTCGTCTCCTCCTCCCCTCCTCCCGTCGCCTCCTCCCTCGTCGCTTATTGTTGCACCTCCCCCGCTGTCTGACTACCTCCGTGCCACTCGTCCCCTTGTCCATCGGGTTTTTGCCTCTCTTTTGACAGATCCGTCTGTTCCTGTCTCGCGCCTTGACGCGCTTGTCGCTGCTGTCGCTGACTTCGCCTCTATCCGCTGCCTTGACTACACTACCGCTCTGGTCTCTGACCCTGCCCGTCCTCCGTCCGTCGGGGGTGCACCTGCCCTTGGCAGTGACGTCCTAGAGGACTGGCAGTACGAGCTTGCTTTCCTTTCAGAGGCCGCTCCCCATCTCTGCTCCATGCTCCTAGTCCCAGAGGGTGATCCCGACGCCTTCGACATCCCGA